GTGTGGAACCATCTCAAAAAACAATAAAAAACCACCAAAAAAAAAAAGGAAAAAATAATAAAATAAATTAAAACCCCAAATTTTGGGTCGGTTCTTCTCTCCAAGTTGGGTTGGATCTTCAAGGGTCATTTGTTGTGTCCTCTGCCCACCAAGAAGGTCCCACTGGGGTTGGTTGTCTCCATCCCTGAAGGTTCCAGCTCCATCATAGTCCCATTTTCTTGGTGTTTTCACCCAAAAATGTGGGTGGGGGGTGTCTGTCACGTGGTGGGTGCTCCTGGGTGGTGGGACCAGCTTCTCCTCAGGTCCAGCCCCATTGAAGCCTCCATGGGATGGAGGAACGTGGTGGCCCTTGTCATCTCCCATGGGACACGGTGGGTGCTCCAGGGTGGTGGGACCAGCTTCTCCTTGGCCACGTTGAAGCCTCCATGGGATGGAGGAACGTGGTGGCCCTTGTCACCTCCCATGGGACATGGTGGTGGGTGCTCCAGGGTGGTGGGACCAGCTTCTCCTCGGTCACATTGAAGCCCCCATGGGATGGAGGAACATGGTGGCCCTTCTCATCTCCCATGGGACATGGTGGTGGGTGCTCCAGGGTGGTGGGACCAGCTTCTCCTCGGTCACATTGAAGCCCCCATGGGATGGATGAACGTGGTGGCCCTTGTCACCTCCCATGGGACACGGTGGCTGCTCCTCAGCAGAGGGATGCTCCTCGGTCACATTGAAGCCCCCATGGGATGGAGGAACATGGTGGCCCTTCTCATCTCCCATGGGACATGGTGGTGGGTGCTCCAGGGTGGTGGGACCAGCTTCTCCTCGGTCACATTGAAGCCCCCATGGGATGGATGAACGTGGTGGCCCTTGTCACCTCCCATGGGACACGGTGGCTGCTCCTCAGCAGAGGGATGGGGACAGGGATGGGGACAAGGTGGGGTGGGATGTCTCCAGCATTGAGGTCACCTCAAGGTGCTGCCGTGGTGGCATTGCCATGGGTGTCCCCAAGGTGTCACTGGGGCAGGGAGCCTGGTGGCATCACCCAAGGTCCGGTGGTGGGACCCAGCTCGGGTTGTGCTGGTGGCATCTGCTGCTGGTTCTGCCAAAGCTGGTGGAGCTCCTTGAACTGTTCCACCATCTTGTCCTTCAGGTCAGGGTGGGAGATCTGCAGGGGGATGCTGTCTGCTGACCAGGACAATTCTCCTGAGAACATCTCCAGCAGCAACCGGGCCACCACGGGCACCACCTGCCAGAGACCCCCACGTGTCAGCCGGTGTGGGGACAGCCACCCCTGTCCCCTCTGGGGACAACCTGGGGTGTCCCTGTCCCATCACCTGCACCGTGATCAGCTTCTTCTCCTTGGGCTTCTGGTCTGGCCACTCCTCACCGAAGCAGAAGAAGATCTCGAAGGGTGGGGGGGTGGTGGTCTGGCCCTTCTGGAAGAGGATGAGGCCTGGGGGGCCCAACACCGCGGGGAGGGACAGGATGGGACCCTGTCCCACCACCAGCACAGCTGGTGTTCCCCCATCCCAACTTGGTCCCACCAGCTGCTCATGTCCCACCTGGTGTCCCCCCATCCCACCTTGGTCCCACCAGCTCCCCATGTGCCACCTGGTGTTCCCCCATCCCAGCTTGGTCCCATCATCTCCCCACGTCCCACCTGGGGTCCCC